GCATACCTTACATCAGTCTAAAAGGTATCAATAATCTGTAACACTCGATTGTTTATCATACTGAGCAGGCCCGTAGCCAGCAATTTCAAAAGGGGGGTTCGTTTTCTGAAAAAGTGGACCTTTTTCCATAAAACCTTCATGTAAATAGATCAAATTTTACTCAGAGTGGACCTTTTCCTATCACAAGGGGCAGTTCTTTCGAACCCCCTGAACCCCACCTGGCAATTTTGGCAATTTTAACTACAGTGACCAAGAGTGATCATGTGAATTGATTGTTATCTATATCCAATTAGGATTCTTGAGGTGAGGTCAAAAGGCTCCAGTTGCTTAGACAGATAAAATAGTGCCTTAGAACAATGACAGCCCTTCCTGTTATCAAAATGTTGCTTGGCATAGTCCTTTAGTACCCATGATATGACAGATCAATGCATAAATAACAAAAAAAAAATCAGGCTTATTTATATTTATTACAGGGTATTACTTAGCCTGAATTTTGTATATAACCTCAAGTGTTATCTTCCAAGTGCACCCTTTCATGTCTGTTTAAAGCATCTCTACGAGCAAATAACACTTCACAGTAATTACACTTGTATGGTTTCTCTCCAGTGTGAAGCCTTTCATGAATCACCAAAGTTCTTTTTTCTATAAAAGATTTTTCACAGAACTGACAATGAAACACTTTATCTCCTCGGTGAATCCTTTCATGGTTTTTGCAGTGACTTTTTTCTATAAAAGCTTTCCCACAGAACACACATTTGTAGGGCTGCTCTCCAGTGTGAATCTTTTCATGTCTGTTGCAGGTTGGTAATTGGGCAAAAGTTTTCTCACAGAACTTGCACTTATATGGCTTCTCTCCAGTGTGAACTCGTTCATGCTGAACACAGGCGGATTTCTTTGTGAAGGCTTTGCAACAAAATTGACACTTGAAAGGTTTTTCACTAACGTGAATCATTTCATGCATTTTAAGCTTTGAAGAATTAGGAAAACCCTTTCCACAGAAACATGTATATGGTCTCTCTCCCCTGTGAATTTTTTCATGTGTTACACAACGGTTTAAGCGAGAAAATTCTTTGCCACAATGCTGGCAAATAAACACCCTATTTGGTCTAGGTTTACAACTACTGTCTTTATCAATGTCTATGTTTTGTTTTTTATTTGTTCTTTTGCACTTCTTGCACTGGTACACTTCCTGCAAATCTCTAAACCAAGGAGAGGACTTACAAGTCTTTCCGCAAGTCTGGCAGCAAATGGAAGTTTTTTCCTTACAGTTGTTGGGTTTATTTTGGCCATCATTTTTTTGACTGCCAGTTTTCATGCTTCGTTTACGTGTGTCCCTTATAATTCCCTTCACATCTTTGACAGTCTTGTCTTCATGTTGTTCATGTGGTCTCGAGTTAATCACTTTCAGATTATTGGTATTGTCTTGATCTGTGGTAGGCTGCCCTCTGGTGTCAGCTATGTCTTCACTGGTAGAATCTTCTTCATCTGAATTGTGCTGACACCTGGTGACAGAAGTGTTGACATTGGTAGGATCTTCTTCATTTGATTTGTGCTCACATCTGGTGTCACTAGCGTCGCAATTTGTAGGATCATCTTGCCCTAATGCATTCTGCCCTTGAATGGATGCTCGTTCTTCATCGCTTCTGCCCTCAAGCTCAAAAATACACACATATATGGTCTCACTAGTGTCTTGATTGGCTAGATGATCTGATGACTTCTGTCCTTTAGTGGCAGCAATGTCCTGATCAATGGAAATCCCACATGACATTTGCTGCCCTCTGGTGTCCAGCCTAGAGAAAATACCCACTTGTTTAAGTTTTAACTATTTCAAATATTACAAAATAACTATGTACCAGCACATGTAAATTTATGTAATTAGAATCTATTTTCCAATGAGCTGTGAGAAAACAAAGCTTTTTTACATTGTAACAATGTTACGGTTGGTGTGGTTGTAGCAGTTGGAAAAGCAGTAAAATGCTCCCTTGTAAAAAAATGAATGTTATCACATTCTGATGACTGAATATAAAATTCCGGTCTGGCTAAATTGCGCAGTATGCCGCTATACAGCACAACACAGCGCAATACACTTGAAATAAGAAGTCCAGTCACAAGTAAACACAGGAAATGGTCATTCTCAACAAATATGGTGACATAAAATCAAATATTTGACTAGATTATTGATGTCATTGATATAAGTAACACATCGGCGCTACTTCTAATATTGTTGGGTCGGCAGCAATGTTGGCTTGTGGCTCTTCTTGACAATATTACCGGCCAAGAAGAGCCACTAACCAACATGGCGGCTGACCTAAGAATAAGGAAAATGTACAAATTTGTTAAGTTTTATCAAGGCTATTAATTATTTAATAATATATTTTGCTCTCATATCAGCCTATTTTGTTTGGAATAATAGTTTCCCGTGTTTACTTGTGACTGGACTCGTTTTTTCAAATGTATTGCGCTGAGTTGCACTGTATTGCGGCATATTGCGCAATTTAGCCAGACCCATAAAATTCTCCTCACTCCAATGTCTCGTCCTTCTCCTCGTCACTAGAAGGCAGCAGTGGCTCCCCCTGGAGTTCAGCACACAGCTGGGTGTGTAGCTTATGTCTGTGAATGAGAAAAAAAGGACAATCTTGCGATTGATCAAAGAAACTAATATGATAAATAAATCAGACACACACGAGCCTTAATTTTTTATTGTCCAAATCCCTCAAGACAAATGGACATTGGATTTGACATAAAATAGTTCTACAAATGCTTCATACTACTGGTATATCCTTATGAGTTTTTTAGTTTAATCAATAAAAAATTGAAAATCAAGCATTTATTCCTGACAATCTCATGAAATCACTTACGTGTCTAGGAGGTACTTAGCCAGACCTTCGTTAGTTACAAGATTCATTTGTTCTTTTAGAGTTTTCCACCTCTCTATCTGCTTGCCGATGTTGATACAGTTGCTGCCTCCGCAGACATCCTGAGGACGCACTAGGATGGATTTTCCCCTCGATAGCATCTTTTTCTGAAATACTGAAGCATTGAACAATGAGTTGAGAGAGAGAGAGAGAGAGAGAGAGAGAGAGAGAGAGAGAGAGAGAGAGAGAGAGAACATAATGCCTGAAATCAGTTACCTATAATGGCATTTAACAGTTATAACCATTACTAGTCTGGGACGTTACAAACACATTGTTTCTGCAGAATCACTTTCGTTCGAAGGATGACATACTTACAATGGAAAACAAGTGTCAAGCGATATTGCACAGATTCCCATTTCCTTCTCCGCTAACACAATCCTCGTTCTTTTTCTGTGAAGGAACTCTGACGTGCCGTTTTACAGCCCTCCTCTTTTGACATGAAATTACTGATAAAATCTTCTTACATACCAAACTCTAAGAAACCTGTCTTGAGGAACGCCTCGCCGCTCCAAAGTGGCAAGAGGAGGTCGTAGGCTACTCGTTGCTGGCCGTTGCACCGTTAATACACTCTGATAAACGTATGAGCACAACTCGACAGGCATGTGATTCTTTAAAAACAGATCAAATCTGTGCAAACTATGGAGATACTAATAACGCTTTTAATGTTTTTTATTATTATTTTTTTTTTACTAAGAATCATCCTCGCACTTTGCTTCATTGATGAATTTAATTATAGGCCTACGCCACAATGGCACTAAGAGATTATGAAAAGTAAAGCCCTATTATTTGTTGTTGTATTTATTTTTCAGTCAGAAAAAATTAGGAAACAATTTGGGACAATATTCCATGTTTAATGTTAAGTCTGTATATACTGCATTTTGCATTTATTGCATAAGTTTTGCATTTCTTGGTAATTATCTCCCAGTGACCTTAAATTCTTTTCTTCCAGCTCATAGTTTAGGATATATATTTTTTTTAGTTGCCCAAAAAGTTTGAAATTACTGCAAAACATGTGACAAACCTGTTTTTCTTTTTAATGAAGCCCATATTGCTGTATTTTTGTCCACTTCGCATTTATTTAGTACAGGTAAGCCTCACCCTAGATTTTGACCCACTTAGATCAGGCTAACCCTAACCATTATAACCATTATAACTAAATGGAGGGCGGGCTCTCTGTTACACGGACCATCAGTTTCGATACACTTCGTCCTTCGTGAAGAAAGTGATTTTACTCGGTGATTCCTGATTTTCACCACGCCAGACTCATTTTCATTGAGATATGTATAATGTTTACTCAATGTGTTTTGTGATTTGATGATTTTATCTCCCGATAACTGTTATACCCCCCCCCCCCCCCCCAGCTACCCATGGGTCCCTCCTGTAACCTCAGGAAAAGCATCTTAAAATTTCAACATTCCGCTACTTGTCTCATCTAGCACATTCTCACTTTGCTTGCACCCTACAACACAATGACACAGTGACACACTGAAGAGAAGAAACCTAAACATCATGTTACGACTGTCGGAAGTGTTTTTTTTTTAAATAAATTAAAAGACAAAAACGGTCGTCTCTGATTCAATGGCATGCGAGATTAGCAAATAACATATGTGAAATTTTAACTTTAATTTGACAAAATTTTAACATTATTCAACTTTTTTTTTTACTAATTGACTGGAAAAGAATTTGTTTGTCAATGAAGCACATTTTCCCAGTTTTAGAAAGAGCCATTATGAATGTCTTTGCCAGCAGAGATCATGCTACCCATGGACCGTTTACAATGATGCACATGTAGCATAGGAGATCTTCATCAGGTGTAAGCTTATTCTATGATACTTTGCTGTCTGTTAATTATTTTGCAAACCTTTTACAAACAGTATCAGTCGCAAGAACAATGGCTTATGTACAAAACGGTAATCATATTTGTGGCTGAAATAATGCCATCAAGTCTGTTTTGTGGCAGGAACAACGTACTACATGTAGCTATATATTTCCCACTCAACAGAATGGTTACTTCATGATCTTTCCACATTCGGACCCATTTGGAAAAGTTTTCAGAACACAAATAAGCAAAGTAAAGCGCTTGAATAATGAAAATAAATTAACTTTATTTACAGATAAAAATCACAATAAATATGGCATCGAATCAGCGTCAGGGCACAATCATTACATATCGGTAAACGCCTGGATCGGCTTCTTTATTGTCGGCTGCTTATCTGTTGAAATGGCAAGAAAAGTTGGCTTACCAATATTTACAATAATTAAAAAATTGGCTTTCGTGGCCTATACTGCGGTCTAAAATATTTACATTGCCCGTTGTGATAACATATTGACATGGAGAGACACCGCTTGCTCTCATTGTACCGTTTACTTTTTAACGATATCAGAATGTATCTTTTTACACAATTAACATATGTACAGTTCTGATGGACTATACACCTATGTATGTATACCCCTAAAGAGCGAAAGAAAAACCTTTCTCAGTTCCGATGAATCATACATATAACGTATGCAGTGAAACAGTTCACATTTAAACAACCTTTTTTTCTTTGTCACAATCCCTTTTTCTGGATTTTGTCAGCGTTCCACAATTTAATGTTTCAAGTTCGATACACATGCTTCAAAGTACGAACGATGAAAAGAACACTTAAATCTCAAATATTAATTTTTGTTGTTGTTATAAGAAATCAGAACAGCGCTGAACATTTTGTGATCAAAAAATTATTACATTCCCTACAGAGTCGCCAGATTCATTTGCCATACATTTCCGTCTTTTTTTAGAAAAAAATCATAGGGAGTGGCCAATGATTAGGGAGCGCTCTGCTTACAGGTATCAAGTCCAGGTCAACTGTACTTCTTTTCTGACTTAAGTAGAACTCTGAAACGATGATGTAGGAAAACGCCCAGGATTTGAAGTTCCTAATTACGCTGTACACCTGTTAACTTATTCACTGGGCTAATAAAACTGCCGTGCTGCTGTAGAGAAACCACTGAAATGGAAGTCCAGTCACTACTGCCTATATCATCTATACCCCTCGAATTATATTCCACAATTTACCAGTTAAGTGTTTATAAGTACTTTACATCAATTGTGAATTGTGGACGGAAGACAGTTGGCTTTCTAGGAAGCATTGCCTTTGCGGATTGCTTTAAACAACTGAAAACTGAACACTTCGGCTGAAAACCCAGGAGCATTCTCTCTGCTACAAACCTAAACATCTTATGATCTAGCAAAAAATTAACTTCGTAATTTCTTTCTTAAACCTAACTATGCACCAATCCTTAGATCTTTCTTGTTTAAAACTAAAACATTTTTCGAGTTTTTAGGAAAAGATGCATACTTTAAGACAACTATAAGACTGTATAAATGAGTCCATAACAAGGGATTCTTGCAGGAACAACCGCAATACCGCACTTATAATTTGAAGTGCAGACAAATGAAGGAATGAATATCAATGTTAAATGAGATATATGAGATGACGTGGTAAAACATATCACATGCCACTGTGTTTGTACATAACTGAGAAATCGTTCCGGGCATCACGTGACTGCATGACGTCACTTTGCTTTTTGTGTTAAAACAAGCGTGTCCACCTTGTGTTCCTTTCGAGCCGTCTGTTTTACGAGAGAATGATATTTCTGGTAAGAGTGCGGAAGTGACACGCAATCACATTGGATGATGTCCTTGTTTTTCATGATGCAGGGACAAGTGATGACAATACTGCAGAGAGAGACCTTGCAGAGACTGCAGTGTATGGTCATGATGCCGTAATGTAAGATAGCAATGCTGCAGTACAGTGATTTCGAAGCTACAGTAACCGCATTGGATGACAACGATCTTGTAGACACTGTTTTCATAAGCAGTAGTGTTCCTCCACCTCCCGCCTACATTCCTTACACTTGACGTAACAACACCAATGGAACTTACACATACATCTCTCTACCACCATCTTCCGCCTCGTCTTGAACCCCCGCCCGCAACACATCAAGTCGCAGCCGTCGATGGCCTTGGAGCTGCTGTTACACAGTCGCCCCCTGGTCCCCAGGGAGCCTATGCTGGGGTCCGGGTCACAGAAGTCAGGGGAGGGTACCAGGTACACCAGGTCCTCGTGGGTGTGGGGCTTGAACTGCTTGTTGACAGGGACAAGCTGCCGCCTCGTGCCTATTCTTTCCTGGATCGCCTCTGTCGCTCCGTCGAATTTCTCCTTGAGTCGTGCCCCGACCTCGCGGAAGGTAGGCATGGCCCGCCAACAGGTCTTCAGTTCACAGGACCCGGAGACGCCATGACACTTGCACTCTACTTTCATGTGCTTCTCCACAGACTGAAACAAAAAGAAACTCATTTTGAAATAATACGAAAACCCATTATAAAACAATAGGAAAATTCTTTATAAAATGACACGAAAACTCAATTGCTCTAGTTGCACTTAAATGACCACGCTAGATTTTAACAAAAACTCTACATTTTGCTAAAAAAACTATTAATGTAAGAAAAATAAATTATGTTGGATTTCCTTTATTTCCATTGTGCTATCAAGTGCTTTAATTCGGTATTGCATCTTTTTTATTAAACTGATTTGAACACTCATGGTTTAAAACAGATAATTCTGACCACATAAAAACAAGAGTAAGTAACATTTCAGCATGCGTTCAAACCACAGGCAGCTACTTGTGTCCACAGATAAAAACTGTTATGAAAACTTTTCCGGAGGATTTTGAACATAGACAAATGTAAAGGCAAAATTTCCCAACATCTTCTGTAAACGTTCTTTTATTTCCCGACCTTAACTCTTTCGATTTCCATCTTTTAAACACTATAAAAATCACTTGGGTGACAACACAGCACTGACAAAGGGAACAGTTGCGCGCATTTCACCGGGCGTTTTAAACATTCCGTAAACGGCTCAGAAGATGTAAAATCCAAGGGAATGAACGCAAGTTCCCTCGATTTCCAAATACTTTGTCAGGGCTGGGTGTATATTAGGTAGTGTAGTAATTACCCAGAGGTGATGACAGCGGTACACCAGGGTATGCCAACACTGCCTACACTGGATACATGTGCTGACATGTGGCACACGAGACCAGATGGAAAACACTGCTGATATCACTTATACTTCACTTGCTTTTCACTGGGAAAAAACGAGGCAATCAACCAAGGCATTTGGCGGCTTCCAGAACCAGCTTAAAAGAACTCTGAAAGCGTTCTTTGGAGGTATTCCGACAATAGCTAAAGACCACCACGTTTTTATTTCCTTATTTTATCATCTTTACATATCTGATCAATCCTTTTCTTATAACATCAGCCTATATTTTCAATAGTTTACTTTCATTGTCATTTTATCAAATAAGTGTAATTCTAATTATTCATCAAAACCTCGTGACATCTTTAATGACCTTCAATGATGTGTTTCTCTGTCAGAGTTTGATATGACATTCAATACATTACACTGACCAATTCCTCAGAAACCATCGAAATATCTACGTTGTTCTTCATCCATGTCGGTATTTTGTTTATTCTTCAAAATTTCGCATTCTTTAAAATTTCACGACCTTTAAATAAAGGCTTACAAAATGAAATTTCCATAAATAAAATGTGTACACAGCTCATCTCTGTCATTCTATTCCAAAAGCTACACGGTTCCTTTCCAGTTTGCCATATGAACTCCAGAACCACAGATTAATTTTTCATTAGATATTCACGGATATGTCACTGACTTCTTCATGACATAGATATATTCTAGCAGTTTTTAAAATTATGTCTCTGTAACAGAACATTCCAATGTAAAGCTGTTCTACCTCACCAAAAATAAGAACGCGTTTGCGTCATGTTCATATGACACCGTGTACAGAGACAGACCCGGTAAAGAAATAAGGTAGATCTACCCAAAGAAACAGTTACAACGGTTTGAAGGCGCAAATATTGACATACAGTCTGATGTATTCTACAAACGCAAAAACTTTTCATTTGACGATGTCCCACTCAATAAAAGCACTCATTCTCTCACTTTTTTATCGCTACGACAAGAAGACCATTCTCAAAGCACTCTTCTAGAACATTCAACGACGTGCCTTACTAAAATTTCGACAGTTTTATATCAGAGCCTTAGAATAATGAAATATGGCACGCGTTTTTTAAAACTTTTTACAAAAACTCTTGCATAAGAGGACTTGTGAACCTAATATCCACGTACAGTTATGAAATCATATCAGTTGCTGAATCAAATACTTTCACAAGGCACACATTCTTACACTTAAGAAACGAAAGAAAGTTTACCAATGCAGATATCTGTAAAAATGGCGCAAATCATACCATCCAACATTTATGATACTTTTTCGGTTTTTAGAAACAAGAGCTCGAAATAATGATATCAATTGTTAAAATGAGGGGGGACATGTTTCACGTGCTCTTATCTCGCTCGATAAGACGAAGGAAGGTAGGCGCACATGAAAAGGGGCACACGTACAGAAAATACAGTTGTAAGTCAGCCTTAGCCCCCATTATAATAAGGCAGAAACGCATGACGATTCAAACAGTCATCACTCACGTACGGAGAGATGAATGTTGACTTTACCACAGTAATGTCAAAGCTGAGGTGTCGGCGTAAAAAATCACTTTGAAAAAGAGATGGGTTCTTATTAGGGGAGTCTTAATGTGTTTACTTTAATATCAGCAACTAGGTTCTAGAAAGCATTATGAGGGAGAGTGTGCGGCCTAACTTTTCCCGGATTGCCAGATGAACATTAAAAAGCATTTTGGGCTCTCCTCAAATCCTTGATTTTTCAGAAGAACTCGACTAAGTGACTACTTACTGTCATTAGGATGGTAGTTATGTACCAATAAAATGAACACCTGAAGCAGCATGTATCTAATGTACTGAGGGGGCGCATAAGTACCTGCTACCCTGTGGATACAGGTAGCAATATTGGCCTCGGCTACCCACCCTGAGCTTCAGAGATAACTTGACACTAACCTCTTCACAATAGCCTATCTTCATCGTGTCAAGTTACCTCTGACGAAAATAGTTTGACCTAGTTTATATAAGCCAATCGAATCCAAGTTTCAAAATTTTTCACCAAAGTTTGGTGAAAACGCTGATTGGTTGACCGTCAATCGGCAATCCTCGGCTGATTCCGCAAGCTCCATACTAACAACAAAGTTATTGTCGAGTGCGGAGACATCCGAGTAGTTCAAGGTGCATAACCGTACACAAAGAAAGCATGGCGTCTCCTACGAGTGACTACGTAAAATAATGTGTTAAGTTATCTCTTGATTCTTTGCAAAATATGAGTATATCGGAATTAAAAGCAGAGCAGTTTGAGGCCCTGCATCATTATCTACTGAGGGATGATGTATTTTGCGTGCTGCCCACAGGTTACGGCAAGTCCCTGATATTCAGCCTTATCTTTGATTGGTCCGGATTTGAACAAAGCGCGCTTTGACTCGTTCGCGTTCATTGGCTAGATCGTTCAATGAGTCATTGAGTGCGGGCTTTAAATTTGATTGGCGGGCGGCGGGGGCAATCGAATGTGATCAGAGGTAACTTGACACGATGAAGATAGGCTATAGTGAAGAGGTTAGTGCCAAGTTATCTCTGAAGCTCAGGGTGCGGCTACCCTGCTTACCGTAACAGTAATAATGCATACATAGACCTCCGGGAATTAGACACTTAGTGTAAACTAGAATACAACAATTCTGGGTTAAGACAACAAGAAGGGAAGTTTTCCTGCCGCCAAGGCACGTGTCTTTTTGACCTACCGCCTGGCGCATGCGCAATGTCACACCTACCCGTCTTCCGGCCTCGTTGTTGTGCAGGTTCATGAGCGCCCTTCCTCCCCCTTTATGCCGGTGTCTTTCCCTGGCGTCCACAAACGCTTTGGAAAACGCATTTCCATAGGCTATGTTATCCGAGCATCCGGACCAGGTAAATCCATCCGGGCTCTTTCCATTAATTGTCCTATCACAACCACATTTTTCTAGTTCTCCGCTACTGCAAGCCCGCGTTACGCTGTGGGCGACACCTGCCGCAGATATGGCGTGAACGAACGCTGCTTCCCTCGTGCCTAAAATAAGTTATAAAGACATTGCATAAAAACGAAATGGTACTTTTTGTTTTTGTAAGTTACAATCCTCACGTGTTTAAATTTAAGTACTGTTGACAATAATTTAGGTAAAACGCACAAAAAGGTTAACAATTTCAGCGTGGCAATAATGGCATCGGTATTTCCAAGTTTCTTCATATTCAGACTGGTTTGGCCTCTACGCCACGTTCTATCTGGAATGGCCTGTACAACACGTTCTTTCTCAGTAAACATTAAACACGCACAGCAGTCGCATTAAATCAATTAAACATTGCATTTTAGTTATATTTAGTTAAGATCGACGCTGATCAACAAAGATTCAACATTGATTCAACGTTGAAAAAGCAACAATGTAATTGTTGTTTTGATCCAGATTTGTAACCACAAAAAGAGTATAATAGGTTCAAGATTCAGTTGTACATGTGGATTGATTTTTATCATCGGCATTAAATTTACATTGAATTTAAGATCAAATTATAATGATCCCCTAGTGAGAGGACAGCAATTTGTGTTGATATTATACCAATAAAGAATGTGTATTATATGTGGTAAGATTTCAAAGTTGTATCTAATTTTCAAACTCAATCATTAGCCTATATTGGGTGTTGATTCAAACATTGCGGGCCTGCAGGGTGAATTCAACTGGCTATCTTTCGTTCTTTAAGTTTAATAAACTTTGACTATTAGACACAAGCAACTTCTAGTAAGTTTAATTGCACACATTGAACATTACACCTTTATGTGGCAAAATGAAATTATCCGGGAATGTGAACAATTTTTTAATCACAAAGGTATATCTGTTTTTAGTTTTTAAAAAATGTAGCATGGCGAATTTCACTCGAACGGTAAAATGTACAAATTAACATCTAGAAAACGGGAAATAACTCGTATTTCTGACAGTGTACCTTGGTGGTAACAGGTAAATTGTTGCATTTACCAGGGATGTTTTAAGCGCATAAAAAAGCGTAATGTTTGCATTTAGAGACCTTTCTTCTTTCACTATACATATGTGTATGTACCCTTCAAACATTTCGGTTTTTTATTTAACACTTGCACCCCATTTCCATAGATTTTTAGATCGATCTATCCCTGTGGGGAGTCTCACTAGATTACTGTCAGCTTGGCCGGCTTAAGCGTCTGTCCCGCCTACTAAAAGCTGTAAGGGGGTAATTAACTATGGTGTCCGCTCGGCTGACTGCAATTTAGCCTGAACCCCCAGGGAGTTAGGTCGATCTAAAACTTAATCTTTAAGTCGATCTAAATCTCTGGGAAAGCACCCTTGAACACTTACTGCTCCTCCGGTTTACAACAAATCCCACCAAATGAGTGGTAATAAATTCGTTTACATATGTAATAGCACAAACGTTCTGAAAATATGTTTTCAGGCTGTGTACCGCGCTTTTCCTGTTCTCGCGACAAACTACTGCCAATTGCATTAACTTGAATTCAGACTGCGCGTTTTCAGTTGTTTAATTGTTAGGCAGTACCACATTTAACGACCACAAACACTCCGCCATTAAGCAATAAGGAACGCGAGTTCAACACCTCGACTCCATTACCCCAAGCACCTTAGACGCTTGCGGCATGTGCTAATATACCAACTTCATTTTCCCAAACCTTCTTTTTCATTAATCTACCCTAACGCTAAGCATTTCAACACCTGGCGGGAGGGAAGCTCGGGAAGCCCAAGTGTTGAAACGTTCGCCCTCAGCAGCCGCCAATCTCAGCTCTTGCTGATTAGTTTACGATATAGAGAAAGATTTCATGTCGGCTTGCTGAGACACAGAGAGAGAGAGCGGTTTCGTTCTGGGTCGTAAACTACCGTCTTACTGCGAGATACACTGATTAAATTCATTTACGTACGTTTATCTAATTAAGATTTACGCAATTAATAAATAGCTTTCGAGCTAAAAATGATGGTATTAAGAATCTTAAACGCGTTGCGATTAGCAGTGCGAGCCTGATAGCGGTAAAAACCAGTAGCTTTACGCCTCGTGGTTCACGAGGAAGTTAACTTACTTGACGCCCCACCGAGAGGAACGCGTGAAGGCACTTAATTCTATTAACATTGAAAACAAACTATGTAAGTGATCCCCCTGATTGACAGAGTGGAGAAATGTTGCGATACCTGACCAAATGAGACGCTATAAATAACCACGACTCAGACGTTATAATTCTCCTGACTTTTTTCAGGCACTCCACAGCAACCTGTCAGCTGGCAGTGTTTGCGCAGCGTCCGGTGTCAGCAATATTGTTGTTTGATTTTACAGGTGCAGTGACAGTGATCTTTAAGTTGTCCCTGTGAGTTTAAAAAGCGCTCATAACAAATAATGTGTTTGGGATAGTTCATGATATACAGTTTTAACACTACACCTTTAATATTGTAATCCACACATGTTCATTATAATCCACAGAGACAAGTGAAGTGAAGCCTAGTTCATTAGTCAAGGCATTAGTTTGTTGAATAATACAAACCTACCAAATTTATTTGTTGGGTCTAATGAACGGTTCAAAAAACCATATCAAATTTTTGATTGCTTATTTGCATGTAACAGCTAACATATAGGGAAAATGTTAATTTACCTCTCTCTTATTTCAGTAACATTGGGACATAGCATCTGTTGTGCTAAATATTTCAGGTTTAAATTCCCCACTGTTTTCATTTGCAGTTGTTATACTGATTATAATGTTTTTCTGTCTTTCCATTTATTTTCCTTGAAGGAGTTTGCCAACAATGTCTTATTTACTAAATTAGGTAAAATGATGTCAACACGTCGAAAAAATATAAAACTCCAAAGCAAGTTAAATTTCCTGAGAACATATTCGACCCCTCCACCCTTGAAAAAAGAAATAACCTAAAATGAATATTGTTCCAGTAAGGGATAACATGGTAGAACTTTGGTTAGTTTTCAGTTTCCTCCCATGAGTCACACAGGTCACGTTTAACGATAAAACAAAAGCAAGCTTTAAAGCATTTTTAAGGATGTTACATGTATACCGGGGTCTAGGTACAAGTAAATAGTACGGAGGCAAATTTTGAACCCGAATAAAAAACATTCCATACAAGGCACTTAGCGAACTAATATGCATGTTATTGCACAAAAGATCCACTATTTATCGATGTACTTTCTCAGTCATTTGACCACTTACTAAAGATAAACTCTACATTATCTCTACTTGCTCTATGTGGGCGAATGGCACCGGAAGTAGTCTGTCACGTGCACGTGCATGTATGTCTCCAGGCTACATGTTCGTTTCACACTCTCACACCGGGATCCCGCGGTGAAAGATCAGAGCGTTTTTCAGCCCTTTGTAGTTCTTTGAAACAAATACCAGCTTTATCAGTAGATCCAGTTAGAATAAAAAAATGTACAGAATAAACAACGTGGAGCTTTATCAACACTGTTTCCTTGCTCCAAATCAAATGTCTACATTGTAAATTTGGCTTACATACCCTGGGTCGAAAAAGAGGGGAAAGTCAGTTGATTCCAATTCCTTCGTTTAGCTAACCAGCCCATTTCACACACGCCTGCTTATCCAGCATTGCTGGAAACGATTTGCCCGATGGGAGGAGAGAATGGGAAAATTAATCAGTTGCATCTATTTCAACCACATCAATGTAGCTAATCTGTTGATTCCTGGTCGAATATTATTCCTCCAGGCTAGAATGTTTTCTTTCCTGCTCGGTAAGTTTTCTCTGTACATTATTGTCTATTACGATGTCATGCCCTTGCGTCAGAAACAGGGGTCAAAAGATACGTTTGAGGGGAAAAAATCACCTTTCCGGAAAATGTAATTATATTTTTTCTCTCTCTTTGTTTCTTAGTTCTTTTAGAATATTTGCCTCTTCGCAATTTTTGTAACTATTCAATTAAAAGAAGAATACAAATTTCTATAAAAAGTTTACCTTCCTGACTTAAAAACATGATGTTATCAACCTTTGCACAGCGCATGTGGCGCACAATGTATATTTTTCCTTGTTGATACGCCGCCTGTGCGATTTATATGTCTACACCAAATGAACTGGGCTGTACAGGACGAACCAAGGTTGAAACTACGCGTTAAAAATTAACATTATTAAAATAAAACATTTATAAATCACTAATGGTATGAGGATAAATTTGCAGGCTGACTAGACTACATTATTTATACGATATATAAGGATATACATTTATATTATGTACATGTATATACAGTGAGTTACACGTCCTAATGGATGCTATCTATACAAGTGAATAACAAGCTATTTCACAACATTTTCGACAATTAGTGGCTGTGATGAACTACAGTAAATGACAGGTAATCTATATATTCTCACAGCAGTCATTACAAATTCTCTTATTACTTTGAGACTTTTACGAGGTGAATTTAGGAGAATTTACAGCACTTCCAACTGCACAGTTATCGACACTGAATCAGCTGCTAATGCTGACCACAACAGAGCACTCTCGGAGCTCGTTGAAACTTTGTGTAAAAAGTCCCCTGCCATCTCACACGGATGGCGCGCGGCCTCGTGCTCTTCACCCCCACATAAATCACACTAATGTGCTCACTATGTTACTCATTGCAAGGAAATGGAGAAGTTAATTATAAACAATTAAGGACTCTTCGATTGGGTTCAAAGACTTCGTGGTGAAAGAAAAGATTATCCAAATAGCAATCCGGCTATTACCGCACTATTAGAGCAAGTTCTGTTGGACTGGTTACAGCAACCGCTCTATCTGTTTGACCATGCAACCAAAAGCATGCGCCTGTAGGGTAATGTTATTAAGAACATGGTGGAGAGAATATGTGTGGGTAGGGGCCGTCAGAGACGTCTTGGAGACGATATAAGCTACTTGTGGTGCAGACAGGTGCGGGGGAGGTGTGTGTGTGTGTGTGTGCGTGTGCGTGTGCGTGGGTGTGTGTTGGGGGAGGGGCACGGGCAGAGTTTTGTACTACGGGGATCTGGTATGTCGAAACTTTAAATTGTGTAAAAGTGC